TTTTTTTTTTTTTTTTTTTAGTAGAATCCTTTTCATGCCATTCCAGAATACGAGAGAGGGTTAAGATTCCTTTCGAAGGAACTGATTCGCGAGATTTTTCCGCTCGTGCGTCTAATCCCGCCTTTTAAAACGGCTTTCTTTGGATGGAAAAAGAGAGGGCCACTCCTTTCGCAAGCATGACACATTTCTCGGCGAAGAAATGAAACCTTCCCCGCGGAAGGAAAATGGCCGCGGCCTGAAAATAGCCTTATGCTTTTACGCGATCCATTTTAGTGGGTGCCGCTGACTGACCATGGCAGTTTCAACAACACAGAGGTTGACCCGCACGAGGTTGGAAGAGATCGCATGCTTTTCGATGTAATATCGAAGGCCGACTACGTTGAATGACAGTCGGTGAACTAGGTCGCGTGAAATGCGTTCTTTTTCTTCGCTCTTCGAGGATTTACTCGAGTTGTTTCACGTGAATACGTTTCGAATACGGCAAATAAAATTGCTGTTGAACAGTACGTGTACATTATCCATCAAAAGGAATTTGGAATCGTTGTTACGTTTCTTTTTTCTTCTTTTTTTTTTTTATTCTTAATTTATGCTATATATATGCTATGTATCTCTGTTCATGCAACTATGTAACAATTGGATAGAAATTGGATAGAAATCATTGGTCGATGAAATTATGATAAACGTTAAATTGAATTCTATTTCGTATTTCTATATTTTATATGTAGAAATCCTCGAGAGATTCGAACTTTCGATCGAGAAAAGCCTGCTCTTTGAAAAGGCGCCCTCTTGATTTCTTGATGTTATTACTTCGCTTTGTTTTATATATGAAGGCTTGGATCTCACGATATTTCATAAAATCCTTTCTTCTATTTCATATTTTTATATTTTATACGGTTTTTCTTTATACTCCATGTTTTTTAAGATCTCACCGTACTTTCATACTTTATCTTCCCTACCTTCTTATCTTCTATAAAATTCTTTCCATCTAACAATAAAAATAAAATAAACGAGAATTAAAAATAATATTTTCAAGTCCTCGTGTAAAAATTTATTCGATTTCCATGAATTCTACTCGGAATAAAAAAAATAAAAACAAATTTCGTAATTTAACAAATCAATTAAATCAATTTAAATACCTTTATTTATGCTGGAATAAGAACAATGATGTTTAAATTCATCTTTTAATCCGCCATAGTTATTTCTCCCCACAATATAGAAGTTGACGAAAGAGAAAGAGAAAGAGAAAGAGACAGATAAAGAGAGAGAGAGAAAGAGAGAGAGAGAGAGATCACGCGCCAACAGCAGAAAAGTTTAAATTACAAGATCCCAGCTGGAAATTAAGATTGCACGGTGTAGGGGAAGTTTTGATCGTTCCAAGAAAAGTTTATTTAACAAGTTAACCTCGTGTATCGCGACCGATGTCCGCAGACGCAGCAGCAACAAACCGCCAATACTTTGTTGTTGATACACTTGGGCGCGGTGGAGGCGGCTGTGTGCCTCATATTACTGATCTTTACCACTGGTTCCTGGCCAATCGCCGGCACCTGGTGCGTCCTACACGGTTTCCTTTTGGCCCTCTTACATCCGGTCGCCCTCTGGACTGTGACTGGATTGAATTGCGACAGGTGAGCTTTTATAAATTAAATTTCTTTAAAGTTCGCCGTGTTATTTTTAAATAAAAAAAAAATAGAAATAGAAATAAAAGATAAAAATAAAAATTCGATGAAACGAATGTCTCAAGTTTAATTTGTTAGATAAAAATAATATTTTTTTAAGGAAACATTGAACAAATTCGGCAATCAAATGCAAGACAATGCAAACAATCATTCATCGATTCATCTAGGTAGCGTATCTAAAAACCGTTTACGCCATTTTTGGGCTACAGAAAGAGTGGAGGAGATATGGGGGAGATAGGAAGTCTTTTATCCCTCATAATACAAGGTAGAAAAATTGAGTTCGATTCGGTGGCGTTCGACTATTCTTACGTGGTACAAAGCTGGCATGCTTTTCAACGTAAGATGTCAATAGATGGGCTTTCACCATTCAACCCCGATATCTCTTTGCCCGTCAACCAGACACCAGATCTTCGATTCAATCAGAAACCTTTCGACGTACCATCCCATGCTTCTCATATCTACGATTCCAGAGGAAGAGAAGGACCAATACTCCTTCAAATTGCACCCCTAGAAACGTGTAAACGGCACGATATCTCTCGACTATGCGCCGTTTATCGATAATGAACAACGGTAGGAGGGCCAGATTTTTCGCGCCAATTTAGCGTCTTCTCGTCAACACGGTTGTTAATAATAAAAATTTCTATGATGCGAGGGATAACGTTATTTGGCAAACGTTGGTATTCGTTATTCGAAATGAATCGAATGGAGGGATAAAGTTGAAAGATAAATTTTGTGAATCAATTCAATTTTATTTTTTTTTATACCTTTAATGAATGATTTCTTCTTTTATTTGTTTATAAGGAATATATTCTTTAAAATGGAGAGAAAAGATTATCTTCTTTGAACTATTGTAACTTTTAAATTAATTCAGATATCGATACGAATGTACGTATAAAATAGATATTGCTATTAGATTTGTTATCCTATTTTATGTAATTTAATTCGTGTAATAATTTAATTCATCTTTAATGCATGACTATTTCGCATACAACAGATGTGCCTCGGGTATAAATGCATATTCACTATTGAAATATTTGAAAAAAAATTAATTGATTAAATTTTATTAAGAAAAATTTGTTATCTATAATTTAAAAAAATTTATGGGAATACATTTTTATTCCGTAAAATTGTTCGAGGAAATATGTATACTTAAATAGTCGGATAATGATTAAAATGTACATGAATTAAAATATATGCACGAATATATCAACGTAACCCATGAACCCGTATTTAAATTTATGTAAATTAGAGAACTCTTAATATACAAACATTGAAATATATTATTACTCTGTATTAATAAGATAATTCTGATTTTTAATTCTTTATGTTATATAAAATCATGAATTATTTCTTAATTATTATCACAATATATATCAAAATTTATTTATCCTTTGATCTTTAATCGATATCGATCGTCCATTTTAATTTTCAAGTAACCACTTTGACTTTCAATCTTTGATCCTTCAATTTGACCTTGATGAAATGACTTTTAATTTTTTTTTTTAATACTTTTTAATTCATTCATACAGGATTTTGCGTGAAATATATAAATTTAAAAAAAAAAAACGTAAAATAAATCATATGGAAGTTATAACAAGGTTCATTTCCATACAATATAAAGTCACGTTCCTTTAACAAATATTTATCACGCTCGTGAAGAAGTAAAGAGAAACAGGAGCCGAAGGGAGTTACGCAGATAAAAATATAATGTGACACGTAGCTCCTTCATCACTTGGAAATATCGTGGGTGCCCGATTTCAAACCGATCGAACATGCTCGATATTTTATTCACGGCCCACGCCAATTTAAACCGAATCGCATTCCTTTTCGACAGTGTCGTGACCTCTTCTCTTCCATCCTATTTGCCACTTACTTTTTCATTATTCACTCGTGCATTCCGATAATTCCGGAACAACCGTTTAAAAGTATTCGATGTCACAAGCCTGTGACACGATATGCTGTGAAAAGATTCGATTCGATTTCGAACGATCGTCGAGGAATTTTCTTTCCTTGGAAAAATTTGCCACAAACGAACTTCACTTTAGTTTAATCAAAGAGCGACAATGTTTTCTTTTTTTTTACAAATATCGTAAAAATATATTTAGCAATAAATAAATGAAACAAAAAATATCGATCTGATATCATCCTGGGGCGCAACTCAGCCACTGAACCAACGCTATGTACGAAAGTTTCGGTTCTTAGATCGCGATATTACGATATATATATATCAATACAAATGACAAATTGTTCTAACTGATTACTAACTAAATTGTTAGGAGGTGCATAAATTCTAAAAGTACCTTCATTTGAATACCGTTATTTGGGTATATCGTATTGCATATTACTTAAAGAACGATATAAATCAAGCTTAATGACGTTATCTTTTGCGCAGATATTACGCGATCGCGGCACCCCTGCATTACGCCGCATTGGTATCACCACGACGCGTTGCAGTTGGCCTAGCTGCATCTTGGACAGGGGCATTACTCTTGTGCGTGCTCCCCTTCTGGGGCCTGGTACCACCTTACAGGTTCGTCCACACCACTCGTAAAACAAATTATACGTTTCATTTCTTCTTTTCATCTATCCTTTCCCACTTCTTTTCCCATTCTTATGGACAAAGGATAAGGATAGATTTTGTCAAGAACGAAGACAGGTTTTCTTCGTTGTCCGAAAGAAACTCGTTGCGTGATGAATGTTCGCCGCAACCCAGATAAACCCGGGTTTCGATTTCTTCATCGAAAGCAATATTTCATCCGCGTTTACTTGCGCTTGTTAGCGTGTCCCAAGGCTGGGATTAATTAGATTCTCTAGCTTTAAAATCGTCGGAGACTTCGTTCATGTAATAATTTCTCGGAAGAAAGAAAAAAAAAAAATTCGAAATGCATGGAATTTCGAGATGCGAAATTCATGCATTGATATCTCGTCTTTTACCCTCCAAGATCTCCAATCTTCATACCAGTACCTCCACTATCCCGAAACGAATCAGACAAGACGAGAAATGCAGGCAAACCGGGACGACGAAAGAAATGCTTCATGAGCCCTGAATGATCGTTGCCACAGATACAGCCCGGGCCTCGGTTGCTGCGCGCCGGACTTCGGCAACGATTCGTGGGGCTTGGCTGCGGCCCTCTACGGTGCCGTTTACGCGATCCTGGGCCTGGCTCTGCCCGCGGTCCTCGTAACCGTGTGCAATTTGCGCGTGCTCGGGATCGCCCGTTATCACAGGCATCGAATCGCCAGCGCGATTTACGAAGTGACGTTGAGCGCGCAGGCGACCATCACCCATCAGCGGAACCCGTTTTTCGTGCCCACTGTCACGGCACCTTCGGTCGTCAGCCCGCCCCGATTTCACAGCGCAGCCAAAACGGTTTGTACACAACCACATCTTCTCGCTAATTTTCGTTTGCACTGCATAATTTTCGTGATATCGCGTGATATCAACGGAACGCAGATATCCGGATGGGTAATTTCACGGATATGGAAATGGCACGGACGAGGCGCATCGCGCCGCAAGATAATGGCAATTTTCGAGAGAGAGAGAGAGAGAGAGAGAAAGATCGAAGGGGATTTTTAAGGGGAGGATTTTAAATTATTTGAATTCTTCGAGTTGATTTCATTGTTACTTAGATTTTTAGAGTCGTTCTTTAGAGCGTTTGAGTTACATAAGAAATAAGTATTATCCGTGCGAAATATTTTGCATATATGTTTAATATAAACGAATGAACAGGATATAAATGATATTAAATATTTACGTAAAATGAGGGAACAGGGTATTTTATATCTCTTTCAAATATATCGCGTAAACTTTTTTCGAGAAAGGTACAAATGTTCATTGGCATCGTTGAATTCGATTATTTGAAAATTATCTTTCGACAAATATCAACATTTCTACTTTTGCGATAAATTGCCGCATTATTTTCAACGACACAATTTGTCAATTCGAATGAAGAACGACAAACATCATAAAACGGCGCATTAATCTTATCGTGCAGTAATATCATGCACTCTTTGACGATCGATTAATTAATTATAGCGGATTAATAATATAATTCCGTCTAATGAGTCCTTTCCTTTATTTGTCGATACCCTCCCCCCCTGCTCGTTACACCCTCGACGCGCAATTGAATTGTGATTAAAATTATCCCACGTAGCGTATATCGAGGCTACCATTGAATTTCTAGGTGATGCAACTAGTTGGCTCTCTTTACTTGCTTTATTTCCCCTATTGCGGACTGATTCTTTGGGAAGTTTGCGACGTTGGGAATCGGCAGTATCTCTACAATCATACGAAACTCGCTTCGTTGGCTTCCCTCCTGCTCGCCTGTTCTCCGCCCATCAACGGCCTCCTCTACGGATTAAAATCGCAGACCCTTAGACGATCGGTGCAGAATTATTGGCGGAAGAAGGCTACCAAATCGGAGCTGCAACAAGTAATCACGAGAACATGAATTTTCCATCCAAGAGCGTTTTGTTTAAAAAAAGATCATCTTCTATGTTTTTCTTCTTCCTCCTCTTCTTCTTTTTTACAATGTTCGAAAGACGATCACAATTCTAATTCAGGAGATCCAAGCGCGAACACCGAGCGCGGCGGGATCGAGAAGACCGTCCGGAAGC